TGCTTGGGTTCAAAGTTAATTAATTTCGACACATTCCTCAGATTGCAAGAACAAACAAAAATTGTGTTTACAGCAAAGTCAAGGAGATAATACACATGGTTTGGAAAGCATAGTCCTAATTATACATGTTAACATGAGACTAGTATAATCGAATTAAATACTAACCTCATCTTTACCAAGTTACATCAATTATTCATCTGCGGATGCACCGATATTAAAGAATTAAGGAATAGGAACCTAAAAGTGAATATTTACTGAAAATGTACTCAACCTCAGGCCATCCAAGATGTTAATGAGTTTGTTTCTTCATGGGATCAGATTTGGAGAAATGTAGCATCACTTGCTTACCAATGGATGGATAGTGAATGGGTGCCGTCAGAATGAGAGTCCAAACAGCTGATAAAAACATGACAATACAGGTCATCTCAAAAAATAAAAAAATTAGAATATCATAAAAAAGGTCAATATTTTTTGTCCCTCATTTCAGAAAGTGAAACCCATATATTATATAGATTCATTACACATAGAGTGAAATATGTCAAGCCTTTATTTTGATGATTATGGCTTAAAGATAATGAAAACCCAAAATTCAGTCTCAGAAAATTAGAATATTACATAAGATCAATAGAAAAAGGATATTTTAAACAGAAATGTCAGGCTTCTGAAAAGTATGTTCATTTCTATGCACTCAATACTTGGTTGGGATTCTCTATGGGGTTCAGGTCAGGCGAGTTTGCTGGCCAATCAAGCACAGTAACACCATGGTCATTGAACCAGCTTTTGGTACCTTTGGCAGTGTGGGCAAGTGCCAAGTCCTGCTGGAAAAAGAAATCAGCATCTCCATGAAGCTTGTCAGCACAAGGAAGCATGAAGTGCTCTAAAATTTCCTGGTAGATGGTTGCGTTGACTGTGGACTTCAGAAAACACAGTGGACCAACACCAGCAGATGACATGGCAGCCCAAATCATCACTGACTGTGGAAACTTCACACTGGACTTCAAGCAACATGGTTTCTTCCTCCAGACTCTGGGACCTTGATTTCCAAATGAAATGCAAAATGTACTTTCATCTCTCTTTCTGAAATGAGTGACAAAAAATATTGACCTTTTTCATGATATTCAAATTTTTTGAGATGTACCTGTAATCCACAAGTAATCCACACCACTCCAGTCAATCAATTGGCATCTTGTGAAGTGAAAAGCTGCATGTTTTATAGAAACAAATCCATCAAGACATTTTTAACTGTTGATTCTGGATAAAATACGAATTCTCTAATCCCATAATAACGTTTTCTCCAATGAAAAAGTTGTCTTGTCCAAATCAGGAGAGAAATTTGCACAGACCAAGCATTGTTTACAAGCCAAAACAGTTCTAAACAAATTTGGTGGATTTTGATGTAAGAGGACTTTTTTCACTGGAGGAAGCGTTATTATGGATTATGGACTACTTTGTCCAGAAGTGATGGTTTAAAGTTAAAACACCTTAATGATGGATTTGTTTCTTACAAACATGCTGCTTTTTATTTCACAAGACATTTATTGATGGACTGGAGTGGTGTGGATTATTGTGATGTTTTTATCAGCTGTTTGGGCTCTCATTCTGACGGCACCCATTCACTGCAGAGGATCCTTTGGTGAGTAAGTGATGTAATGCTATTTCTCCAAATCTGTTCTGATGAAGAAACAAACTCATCTACATCTTGCATCTACATTTGCACGATACACGCACAAGCATACAAAAACTTGTGCTGGAGTTATGCCTACAGTGCATCTTGACCCGTAGACTTCCATTGTGAGTGCTTTGTATGATTTATAACAAACTTAAGAGGAACTATTTCTGTGCTAACTGACAGCATAGAGCTTAACTGAAACTACACTTTAAGGCACACTGGAGACAAGCGTTGTACCCTTTGTCTTTAGCGTGCATGTCTGCTCCATGCTGCAACAACAGCTGCACTGTCTGCACACGATTATAACCCGCGGCCAGATGCAGAGGCGTGGACTGAAACCAACAATCCATTCAGAAACACATATGCAAACTATTTATTCAAATGAAGATGCATGCAGAACCTGGACCGATTACACATGAAATGCCAGGCTACATTATGTGTTTTATGTGAAAGGGAAAACATTTGAATATGGTTATACATTAACAATCGCACTGTCAAACAGGTATGGAGATAACATTAGCATATTTAATTCAATAAATCACCTTCCTTCCATCACTAGCATGACAGTTCACATTTAATGGTGTGAGGAGGCTCATCAGTTTTTCTTCATTTCCACTTCTGTATAAAAGCATTGAGCAGCAAGTCAATTAAAGGAACAATGCGAGGCACGATAACAATTTACCTCAGCAATTTTCATCTCTCCTCAGGTCTCCTGAACATTACTGAGCTTAAATTGTTATTACCTTGCGCTCTCGAGGAGTTCATCCTTTCTATAGTCACCTAGATTTAAGAAAGAATTAAGTATATTAACATAAATGGAAATCTCATTTGAGCCTAAATGAAAAGCAAAGTCACCAGGAGAACATGTCAGCCTGGAGTAAATTGACAATTACTAGCCTTATAAACAAATAGAGAAAATGGAAATGGGAATTATGGGAATCAGAAGCAAGTGTTTCAAAAGGATGTGCGGCAACTACATAGGGCAACAAATAAATAAATAATACAAATAAAATAAATCTCTTCATATAAACAAACTGCTTTGCCTGTGCTCTTTCCATTTAAAATCAGAGGCGACCACTGCATTTTAATCACGATCCAAACAAAGATGCTAAATACATGTTATTCAGATTGTAATTAGATTGCATAATGTCGAAATCTGAAGCAAAAACAGAATGGTCTGACTTTAGCTTTGTTAAACTATACTACGTAAAAAATCTGAACGAAACAGAAACAGCAGATGAGCTGGATGAGATGTAAATGTCACTCTCTGACAGCAGGTGGCGTTTATGGAACAGCAGCTATTTATAGGCCGCTGTCCCTTTAAGACCCAATACATGGATCCAATATAATGATGCACACGCGATTTCTTTCCCCACTGTTTACGTTCACTTAAGACATAACTGACTGTGTTTACGAGAATACTTAAACACACGCAATACATGCAAGAACCGAATTGAATTCTCTTTAGCCTCTTCATGTGCTTAAGGGTTTAAAACGCTTGAATGTTGCGAGCCCTGAGACTGCAGACCAGTTCTGGATTAGAACTGGATCTGGATTCCAAACACTACCAGAGAAGTAAGCGTGTACCCAAGTCTGAGGTTCGAGAGCTCACCAGTCAGCACAGATTTGGTGAGGGTTCAGCCAGGTCAAGCGCTGTCCTTCCATCAGTGTTTTGGATCGTTGGCTCAGCACCATGTTGCAGCAAAACTACAAAAGACAAACATGATTTATACAGCTGCATTATACATTCAACATGCAAATGAGATCTAAGTTTAATGCACTTTTCTCATCAAAACAAGTTATGAAAGTATTCTGTTAACTTTACTACTAGGAGGCTTTACCAATGCCTCTCGAGTGTCTTTGGCTGTTACTGTACAGAGCTGTCAGAGTGTCAGTTCAGCTGTGCCTCAAACCACAGAAATCAAATAAACGTATAGAACGTCGATTCTAATGCATGAGGTCTTGGAATGGGCGGGGCTTTGACGGCCCAGAACTTGTTGTCTGAGTCTGCATAATAGTTAATTCAGAAATAAAATGACAGGATGATTAAAAAATACATATTGAATAACTGAATTGAACAACTGAACAATCATTTATCCTGTGGAGAAAAAGAATGGGATGTTTACGTCCTGACTGTTGCACTATAGGCCTATTCTGCAAGTTTCGCTCTCAACAGCGTATTTAATCAATGCCGCTTAAAGTTTCTCAGCGTTATTATTCAGATATAAAATGATTGTCCAGACTGCTGCTGAAAGAGACGAGACGACGTTGTCACATACTATGCTACATGTTACTTTTCTCAGCGTTGGTCAAGACTGATCAATCCCTGTCGTTTGTGATCATTGTAGTTAAAACGGATGCCCATTTCTATCAAATCATTCATGCATTTAAACAATTAGATTTAAGCAATTATGTATTTAAGTGCATAAACATATGTAGTAACACAAACAACGTACAGAGATTTTTATACATCTATGTGTAATCGATTGTCTGAGCCGCCATGCATGCGGCCCCTGAAGAATATCAGCTGACTCGGACTCGGAGTGTGAATATGATTCCCAAAAATAATGTTTAGGAAGGCAGCTCACTTGGTTTGAGATACAGCATAGATCTTACGTTACGCAATGTCAGGCAAACTATATGTATCATTGAACTCCAATGATGTCAAATAGAACATGGAAAGACTATGATATACATCATAACTTCCATCTTAATGAATACGATTTATGCGAATGTTACTGAACACCGAATACACTTCAGTTTCAGAAACACTCAACATTGACAAAATATAAGAAATCGGTTCTGCCATCTGCGCTGCAGTACCTGTTTTGTTTTGTTTTGTTTCCATATCCATACCCATATTTTGACTTCCAGTGGGGAAGTCGTGGCCTAATGGTTAGAGAGTCGAACTCGTAACCCAAAGGTTGCAGGTTCAAGTCTCATACCAGCAGGGATTGTAGGTGGCAGGAGTGAATGTACAGCGCTCTCTCCCACCTTCAATACCATGACTGAGGTGCCCTTGAGCAAGGCACCGAAACCCCCAACTGCCACAGCAAAAAAATGGCTGCCCACTGCTCCGGGTGTGTGTGTGTGTTCACTGCTGTGTGTGTGCACTTTGGATGGGATAAATGCAGAGCACTAATTCAAAGTATGGGTCACCATACTTGGCCTCACGTCACAAAAATAAAAGCTTTGAAAATTAAGTATCAATCCATTAAAGAATAACTATTTGAATTTTTAACAGCACACTAAAGCATTTAGATGTTTTCCTTCAATTTATGTGAGTACATCATAGAATAAAACATGTCTGATGTTACATACATACTTTAATATGCTTTATACAAACATTATTGTCTTTAAACGTTTCATACCATAAACACTTAAGAAAATGTTCATATTATTTAATGAAAAAGCATTACAAAAATCTTATCTCAACAAATGTCAATTCAGTGTCAAAATAACACTGAAAATCAACATTTAAAATGGGGGAGGTGGAGGAGGAAGTGGTGGAATACATTTTCCTCCAGTATTAGGAGGAGGAGGAGGCGACGGTGGCACCATGGAGGCATTTTGTGGAGGTGGAGGTAGTGAAGACCCACTGTAGGCAGAGCTAGGAGGAGGAGGAGGCAGAGGCGGAGGAGGAACAACTGTCTTGCCCTGAATGGGAGGTGGAGGAGGTGGGACAGGGACATTGCCTGGAGGAGGTGGTGGAGGAGGTGGAATATTACCCTGGGGAGGAGGAGGTGGAGCATTTGCTGAAGTCAATGAGGTATTTTGACCAGGTGGAGGTGGAACCAAAGAACCTCCATACACAGAACTCAGAGGAGGAGGAGAGGGAGGAGGAGGTGGGGGTGGAGAGTCTCCCATCTCATCATCTGGGAGAGGTGAAGGAGGCAGCATGGACAGGTCGGGATAGGCAGGTAGAGTCGGGGAACGGTCAGACATGAGTGAAGGAGGCGGTGAAGATGGAGAGAGATCAGGAGGAGCTGAGACGCTAGAACCCACGCAACCAGGCACTGATGGAGGAGGAACTGCGATACCCAAAAAAGACCTGGAACCACAGAAACAACAAACATTTTTACCTAAAGCTATCTGAATATAGGCAGCAAAAGCCATTACAAACCAGCTGAAGGTGCTGGTCTCCTGTGTGCCAAGCTGTACAGACACAGATTCCTCATTGTCTGCTTTTGGCTCTTCCTTCGGTGTCACAACATAATAAATGGAAATAAATATACAAAATCAGCAGGGGTTTTAGGCTGCAAATATTGTGCAAATCAATTAAATTATTAAGTTAAGTTAACTCTATTACAAATAGGATAATCTTATAATTAGTAATTACTGATGAAAAATTACTATTGGTTTTCATCTAGCAATTACTGTTGAAAAACAGTAGGACATCGGCAAATAGTTTTGTTTCAACTTATTTTGCTTGTGATGAATTTATGATTCTTTAAAATGTAATAAGTCTAAATGCAGTTAAAGCCCTTTTTAAAAATTTGTAAAAATACACTTCTAATTAGTGAAATATATATATATAATTTATATATATTATTTAAAATATTTTTATATCAGTAAATACTATATATTTCATTTAAAATGTTTGGGATCAGTATGTTTTCTATAATATTTATCAAATAAGTATTTTATGCTCACCAAGGCTGAATTTATTTGATCAAAATATATTGTAAAAACAGTAATATCATGAAAAATTATAACAATTTAAAATAACTCTCTTCTATGTAATATCTAATAAGATGTAACGTATTCCTGTGATGTAAAGCTGTATTTTCAGCATCATTACTCCAGTCTTCAGTGTCACGTGATCCTTCAGAAATCATTCTAATCTGCTGATTTGCTGCTCAAGAAACATTTCTTATTATTATCAATGTTGAAAACAGCTGCTTAATATTTTCGTGGAATCCATGTTATATTTTTTCAGGACTCTTTGATGAATAGAAAGTCCAAAAGAACAGTATTTATTTTAGATATTTTTTGTAACCATTTAAAAGTCTTTACTGTCTCTTTTGTTGAATTTAATACATGCTTGCTGAATAAAAATACTAATTTCTAAGACATAATTACATAAATAAAAAAACATTTACAAAAAAAAACTTTCTGATCCCAAACTTTTGAGCGGTTGTATATAATATATAATATACAATATAATATCATATAAAATACATAATGCTATGTATTTTTAGGCCTAATGCAAACATTAGATCACATATTTCTTAATATTATTTATAAAACATTATTTTGATTTTAATTGAACCACAAGAAGTGAAAAAAAACAGCAGTACAAGTAAAAGTATTATATATTTGGAGATATATTTGCTCACAGTTTTGCTGCCTTCCCAGTGGCTGTGGCCCAGTTTGTCTAAGCAGGTGTAGGAAACGGGAACCCGTTTGTACGTGCGAAATGGCTCCAGGCCACTTGCTGGGGGAACTTTTGACTGTTTGGTCAGCATTTCAATCTCTTTCCGGGCTATTTTCTCCTTGTACATGCCAACTGTCTGAATGTGAATACGGACATTAGGAGATTATTTTGCCCATTTACAACTTTGACATGATTATATGTCTATTAAAGAAGTAGTTGACCAAAAAATTAAACTGTGCCGAAAATTTAACAAATTTACCATTACATCAGTTGCTCACCAATGGACCCACAAGAAATCCACACGACTCCAGTCCATCAATTAAAGGGGTCATATGATGCTGCTAAAAAGAACATTATTTTGTGTATTTGGTGTAATGCAATGTGTTTATGCGATCCTGGAGGGCCGGTGTCCTGCAGAGTTGAGCTCCAACCCCAATTAAGCACACCTGAACCAGCTAATCAAGCTCTTATAGGCATACTAGAAACTTAAAGGCAGGTGTGTTGAGGCAAGTTGGAGCTAAACTCTGCAGGACACCGGCCCTCCAGGACCGAGTTTGGGCACCCCTGTTCTAAGTGATCCTGAAGACCTTGATTAGCTGGTTCAGGTGTGTTTGATTAGGGTTGAATCTAAACTCTGCAGCTCTCTGGCCCTCCAGGAACTGAGGCCCCGTCCACACGGAGACGCGTTTAGCTGTATATGCATACATTTTGTATCGTATGGGTGTTTCGTCCACACGGATACGGCGTTTTGGGAGAGTGAAACCGATATTTTTTAAAACCGGGTCCCAGAGTGGATAAATCTGAAAATGTTTTCCCTTGCGTTTTCATGTGGACAGCGAATCCGTATATTTTCTGAAACGATGACGTCATCAGCCCACGTCTCGCCCCTAGTCCGACACCACTACGTCACGTAACAACAACAAAAACATGAACAAACACTGAACCATTGTCTTTTTATTAACTAACATTAACACAGATTGATAAATGTATTGTTCCATGTTCGTTTGTATACCGCGCACAAGGTTTATGCGCATAGCCCAAGTCTTCTTCTCCGTTTTTAGTGTATCTCTGTGGCAGAATTACAGCG